AACCATTCCTTTCTCTTCAATCTTTTTGGAAGAGTTTGAGAATTGATAATAATTTTCCTTTGAAAAATTCCCTAAGCAGTCATCTAGTATTGGGCTTTTCTTTGTTGAGAGAATTTTGATTGCTGATTCAATCTCCTTGTTAGTTTTAACCCTGTTCAGATTTTCCATTTCTTCATGATTCAATCTTGGTAAGTTTTGTGTTTCTAGGAATTTATCCTTTTTTAAGATATCCAATTTATTGGGAAATTGCACGATAGTAATCTGTCACAATTCTTTATATTTCTGTGGTGTCAGTAATAATATCTTCTCTTTCATTTCTGTTTTCATTTATTTGAGTCTTCTCTTTTTTCAGTATAACTAAGAGTTTTTCAATTGTGTTTATCTTCTCAAAAAACGAGCTCTTAGTTTTGTTGATCTTTTTAATTGTTTTTCTTGTTTCTATTTAACTTAGTTCTTTTTCGATTTTTGCTTTTTCTTTCCTTCTGATAAATTGGGCTTACTTTGTTCTTCTTTTCCTTGAGGTGTAAATTAGGCTGCTTATTTGAAGTCTTTCTTTTCTCTTAATGTAGGTATTTATTGCTATAAACATGTTTCTCAGTACTGCTTTTGTCACATCACATAAATTTTGGTATGTTGGGTTTCCATTTTCACTTGTCTCAATGTATTTTTCAAATTTCCCTTTTGATTTCTTCTTTGACTCATTGATTGTCAAATTCAGGAATGTGTTGTTTAATTTCCACGTATTTGTGCTTTTTCAAGATTTCTCCAGTCATTCATTTCTAGTTTCATACCATTATGACTGGAAAGATATGTGAGATGATTTCGATCTTCTTAAATTTATTAATACTTATTTTGTGACCTAACATTCACAATTGATAAAAAATTAATGATAAAATACAAATAAACTATAAGTATTTGAGAAGGCAAAGGAAGTGTGTCATTGCAGATAAAATCATGTTTTCCGGAATTCAAGGTAACATCATGAAATAATACTGGGATTTTTGAGAAAGCTTAATAAAGTGCCTAGCTATAAGATAAATATATAATTTCTTAGACAAAATAAACAAATAGTGCATTTTTAATAGCAGTACAAAATAGGAAAACAAAAACACAAAATTTGTATGATCAATCTTACAAGAAATGTACAGACCTATATAAATTTAATACTAAGATAAAAAGAAGATTGAAATAAATGGGAAAACATGCTTCTTTTTAACTTAAAAGACAGAGCACTAAAAATATGACATTTCTTTAAAAATTACTTCCTAGATTTAATGAACTTCCAATAAAATCCCTAAAAGACACAAGCTAAGAAAATTTTGAAAAGAGTGAAAAGGCACTGGCACCACCAGGATTAAAATATAATTTAAACTATAAGAATCAAATCAGTCTAATCATAGTAATAGCAAAAAAAAAAAAAAAAAAAGAGGAAAAACAGATCAATTGAACAGAATAGGTAGCCTAGAAACAGTTGTTATTATAAAATAATTATATGTATATGAAAAAGAAGGCATTATACAGCAAGGCAGAAGAAAATGTTCAGTAAATGGTCTTGGTGTAATGAATAAAATATTAATTTAGACTCTCATCCCATGGCATATGATAAAATAAATTCCAGGATAACATTTTTAAAAAAGCCTTTAAACAGATATAAATGAAGGTTAACATTAATTAACTAAAGCATTGGAATACATGACAGTGGTAAAAAGCAACAAATTTGCCTACTTAAACATTCCCTTAGAAGGAAGTACCATGAAGGCAGGAGGTCTGGTTCATCGCTAGTGTCTATGTCTAGTACATGGTGTGTGTTCTACTAAATCTTCATGGAATAAAGGAAAACAACTGTTTTTATTTTTTTTTGAAAAGCCACATCACTACCATTTTTTCAAATGACAAATTGGAAAAAACATTTGTTACGTACATGAAGCATGATTAGTATCCTTACCTTATTAAAAGTTTATACAAATGATAAGAAACTTCATTAAGACTCATTAGATGGACAAGTATGTGAATGAACTGTCACAAAAGAGGAAATACAAACATTGATGAACATCGGGAATTGTGCCGCATGTTAATAACAAAGAATTACATATTATCGGGCAAAATATGAGATTTTTAAAAAATAAAAAATAAGAACATCCAATGCTGGTTTGAATGTAAGGATAACAGGTCATCTCATACAGCTTGTGGGGTTAATACAAAGTATTTAGAAGGATGATTTTGCATTCTTTATTGACCACCTTAAAGATATTCACCACTTTTGATCCTGTAATTCCTTTTCAGAGAATGTATATTAGAGAAATTACCTGTTCGAAAGAAACAAATTTATGCAAAAAAGTTCATCATAGGATCACAGGTGCTAGTGAAAATTTGAGAACTAACTACATGTCCAACAATGGTAAAATAAGTGTTAAAATACTGTATGGTCACACGGTGGAATATTATGCAACCATTTAAATTATTTCCATAAAGATTTTTAAATACCATTGGAAAATCAATTATTTTAAAAGATATTGTAAGGAGATGATTATGTTGTGATGCCAACAATAAAAATATGCACAGAAAAAAGAGGATAATGATAGCATTATTTATCAGCATATACTCAAGGGGCAGGGACACTCTCTCTCTCCCTCACAATCCTAGCACTCTGGGAGGCCGAGGCGGGCGGATTGCTCGAGGTCAGGAGTTTGAAACCAGCCTGAGCGAGATCCCCCTCTCTACTAAAAATAGAAAGAAATTAATTGACCAACTAAAAATATATATACAAAAAATTAGCTGGGCATGGTGGTGCATGCCTGTAGTCCCAGCTACTGGGGGTGGGGTGGGGGTGCTGAGGCAGGAGGATTGCTTGAGCTCAGTAGTTTGAGGTTGCTGTGAGCTAGGCTGATGCCACGACACTCACTCTAGCCTGGGCAACAAAAGTGAGACTCTGTCTCAAAGAAAAAAAAAGAAAAGGAAAGCCTATGATCTATATACCTTTATTTGTCCCAGAGGAGAAAACTGATACAGGAGAGGGAGAGGGAGGGGAGAGGGGAGGGGAGGGAGGGAGGAGGAGAGAAAACTGATACAGAGAGGGGAGAGGGAGGGGGGAGGGGAGGGGAGGAGGGGAGGGAGGAGGAGGGGACGGGACGGGGGGGAGGGCGGAGGAGAAAAACTGATACAGGAGAGGGAGGAGAGGGGACGGGGAGGGGAGGGGGAGGGGGAAGGGGTTTCAAAATCACTGAGCTGAGGAACAGGATTTGATATCAAGCAGGATGGCTCCCTCATCCCTCTTAATCAATGCACCATACTACCAGTGTTCGTTTGGAAAACAAAACAAAACAAAATATTTTTAGTAGTTTTATGCGGGGAGTGGGAGGGCTCACTGGTCTCCTTTATCCTCCACATCTTCCAAAGTTTCTATAATAAGCATGATTTTCTGTCATGAAACATGACCTTAGTAATAATAATATATATTTTTTAAAAACCCTAAGGTCGATGAGTGCGATGTGCACCAACAGGGGGACGGACACTCATGAAGCTCTGACTCGAGGGGGGAGGGGAGGCAAGGGCAATATACGCAAGCTTAACATTTGTACCCCCATAACATATTGAAAAAAATAAATAAAAATTAAAGAAAAAATCCTCAAGTCAACTTCATGTTGTGTAGTGACCCTCAAGAGTATATATTATGGATTATAGAGTATATATTAGGATTATGAGTATATATTAGGATTATGTATGTACTATGTATATTAGGAGTATATATTAGGATTATATATGAGGATATATTAGGATAAGAGTATATATTAGGATTATGTGCACCCGGTATTTCCACTTCTCTCTCCACAGGCGCCGTGGGGGGCCCGGGTCCCCCCTCCAGCTTGCTCGCGGGTCTCCCCTGGTTCCCTACACAGCACCGCCCGGGTGTCCCTTCTTGAAGTGCGCGCCCTTTTCCTCCCTGTGCCTGCGTCGCAGCGACAGACAGCTCCAGGGTACAGTCGTCAGGCGTTCCTAGGGCACAGGAACGGAGTCTTCCGACCCTCCCTGGTGCCGCCCCTACGTGGCCTTCCCGACCCCTGCAGCTGCGGGTTCAAGGCCCTGTAGCAGGCCCAAGCCGGGCACTCACCCGAGCACGAGCACGCGGCGACCTGCAGGCTAGCGAGGCGCCCCGCGGGGAAGTCCCCGGGGAGTGGCAGGGCTGGGGGCGGCCTCTGCCCGCACTCAGAGAAGCCGGGAGGGACGCCACCCGCGTTGAGGGTTGGGGTCGGGGTACCAGCAGCCCCGCAGTCCTTTGGGGCCGCGCGCAGAGCCTCGGAGACTCCAGCCCGCCTGGCTGGCCATCCTTTATCAGATTAGGACAGTTCCTAAAAACAGTGCTTTTATTCCAAGGTGACTCAGAAGTAGCCCCTGACAAAACGCAGTATTACTTAAAGAGGGTTGTGGGTGGGTGAGTGGGAGGGCAAAATTCTCAGCTTGCCTTTGTCGGGGGGCAGTGGTTGCGGGGGTGACCGTGTTATAAACGTGCGTGTTGGTTATGCCTCTGGCTGGGAGCACGAGACGGGGACGCTGTGCGGTCCGCGGGAACGAGCCCAAGTGTCACTTTCGGGGAGCCTCCCGGTGGCGCGGGGGCGACTGCTCACGCCGGAGCAGCTGCCTTCCGAGGCGCTGGGGGGAAATGTCAGACCTGAGGTTCCTCTGTGTGGAACGAGCCTTCACTTCCCGGATCCGTCCAGGGGACAGTGCACCCTCCCCAAACCCTCTTCCTTAGAATGCTTCCAGGGAGAGCATGGTGGTGGTGGTGGTGGTGGGGGGATACGAGTACCTTGAGCGTCCTGACATTTGCAAACCTGACCCCCCTGGGGAATCATTGAATCCTATACTGCAAGTCTCGGTGTCTAATGCAATTTGGGGGCGGGGGGGGTTGCACATGTTTTGGGGGGGGTTGGTAAAGTCTTTGGGTCGCACGCCCCAGGTTGGTGGCTCCCTTGCGGGACGCTGGGCAGAGCGGTGGCGGCGGCGGGGAGGGTCCCCGGCCCCCAGGCGCCGCGCGCGGGGCTCCTGCCCAGCTTCCTGCCTCGCTCCGAGTCGCCGTGTCCGCCCCAGCCCGGAGCAGTTTGTGCAACTGGGAAACTCGATAGGAGGCAGCAGCTGATCTCCCACCACCCTAAAAATAATCCGCTCCGGCGCGCTGCCTGCTTCGGCTAGGGGAGGAAAACTGTCACCGGAGTAAGTGAATCCGTGTCTTTTACATATATTTCATTTAAAAAAAAAATTTTTTTTTTTTTAAGAGTCACTGGTCAACTGTCGATTTTGAGCTAACATTTCTGCAACCCGCAGGCGCCCGGCTCACTCTGTCTCCGCGGCGCTTCGCTGCTGCTTTCCACGACGGTCGCTATTTCTAGCGACGAAGGGACCGAGGCCCGGCTGGGGAAGAGAGGGGGTTGGGGGTGGGGGCGGTCAGGTTTCCAGTTTTGCTTTAAAACTGCCGGCTCCTGCATAACACCAACTGGAAATAGCTCCTTTCTCTTAGACGTTTCTCGTTATTGTTCATGAAGTAGCATTCTATCTGCTTAATTTTAGAATTTTTAATTCTTGGCTTTTTTTAGGAGGTCTGCGTCCCGGTTTGAAATTTACATCTTCAGGCAGTTATAGGAAGTGGATGTTTTTGAAAGTAGCACAAGTGCACCGGTAGGGGTTTGAAGCAGCCTCAAGTTATTGCCCAAGGTATTTATTTATTTTTTGCTTTATTTGTTCAGTTTGGGATTTTTGTTTTCTTTTTTCATTGCAGTATCTAAGGGATATCTGCTGAGTAGTTAACAACATTTCTTTTCGTGTGGGATAGAATTTCAAAGCCACTGAAGAGTAAATGGGTGGATTCAGACCAGGCAGTAAATCAGAAGTCAGTGGTCATTTTTGCTAGTGATTTTCCTACTTGGATCTGTCATAGCTTGCTAGCTATAGCTGTGGTAGCTAGCCAGCTAGCTAGAGAGATAGCTTCTAGTTCTTCTCATGAACGCTCGACTAAATAACTTCGGAGAAGTTATTATAGCATTTGTTTCACAAGAGAACTCCCTCCTGAAAATGTCCTAGGTAACAGTAAAGCCCTTAAGTTCTTTAAAATGTCATGTTTCTCTCTCATAACATAATTTGGTTAACCTCTAAATAACTAAAGAATGAATTGTTTTGTATGTAAGAGTGAAAATTTTTATGTTGAGCTTAGCATGTTTTCTTCAGGTGTTTCCCAGCGTTTTAAAGTTCTCTGGAATTCCTACTCAATTTAGAACTGACACTTTCTGCCTGGTGAACAGGAAAGAGAGCTAGTTTTCCCTTACTTTACTTGTAGTCTGCTTGCAAATGAGAGGGCTGGCAAAAATAAATGGTGTACCTGATATGCCTTAACGTTTTAATGTATTTTTAGGATTAAATCAGATAACTACTATTCCCCTCTTACAGAGGAACCAACAGAGCTGATAGGTCCATTATTATATTCATTGACTTAATTCAGAATTTATAAGTCTAGGCATGTGGAACTTCAAATAATGCATTTCCAGGAATAAGAATACTGAAGGTACTATTCTTGCCATGAAATCATAAGTTAGAGCATCAGAAGCATTTTCATTTTAGGTTTTCTGTTCTGCAGGTCATCTTTATAATCCAAGTTCCACTTCTGATCTTTGTCTTTAAAGTTTGATATTCAGTGCAGTTCTCCTATCAACTCTCAGAAACATGGAATATCTTTCAGTGGTTTATTCTTGTGGGGAGGATAATGTTATGTCTTCCCATCTGCCCTCTCTTCCTTCTCCCTCCCTTTGACAGAGGGCCTCTGTCAGTGCTTAGCTGAACCTAGGCAGCTCCAGAAGGGGCAGGGCTGAAGGATGTCAGGTGACAGAGGTTAGCCAGCAAGAACAGCAATTTATACCCTTCCGAAAGCATTCCTAATTTAACCTGGTTTCTGGGAAGGGAACATTGAATGACAATGTTGGAAATTTAAGAATTAGTTAGAAATCTTGATTGAATGAAATATCTTTGATAAACACACTAATTATCAAGATATCTGCAATAAGTTTCTCTTTCCCTCTTTTTGTCCATGTTGGATTGTAATGTGGGCTGGCTGATAGAATGTACCAAATGATCACTGGACACTAGAGAAGGATACTAAGGGTCGTGGGGAAAGGATAAAGGAGGAAGCAAAAGAAAAGAAAGGTTAACAGGAGCCATGTGGTAAGAGGTAGCGGACAGGCTGATAGCCAGGATATGAAGTTAGAGAGTATAGTAGAAAGAGGAAAGCATTCTAAACTTTTACTATTACCAATTCAAAGTACACAGCTTTGCATGACTGTGCTATTGGATAGTTCCCTGTCTTTTAGATCATATACCCTTACAGTATACCAATAATTATTGGGACTAATATAGTCTGATTTATATAGTCTAAAACCATAGGCACTGTTTCTGTCTTTTGCACTATTGGATTCCTAGTAAATAGCATGTGGTCAGCATCAATAAGTATTTTAACAGTTAATTAATTAGTGGCCTATGATATCTGGTATATGCCAAAAATGTTCTCAAACTTTTTCATGTTATACTTCTCTGAGATTTTCTTTCCACAGTTACACACAACATTTATCCAAAGTCGACGTAATTGGTAGGTTTCAGGATTGATTAACTACTAGGCAGGTAATTCCTATGGCTAATGAAGGATGTGATTTGCAAATTCAGGTTATATTTTAGCATCTGGCTCAATGATAATGGTTTATACATGTGGCCAACTAGAATGTTATAATTTTGGATGAAGTTATAAAAATAGTTAAAGCGAGAATTATTTTCTGGTTCATGCTAGGAAACAGTTTATACATGTCTTTCAATTAAGAGTGGGCTTAGGAAATTTAAATTTCCTTTTATCATTTCTACTAAATGAAGGAAGTAGTCTTAGAAATTCCATTACTAGGTATTATTGTTTAGTTTTTGTTTTATTCTGTCTTTACCAGAGATACATCTAATATACACATGTGAATTAATACCTTCCATTTTTCTGTTATTTAAAAACCTCAAGTCCTTTTACATTCTTTTATCCAGCTTAGAATCTTAATAGCTTGTAACAATTTGCCAAATACATAACTTCATCCTGAGTTTTAAGAAATATAACTTTTTTTAAAAGATGAGAAAAATACTCAACTAGAGTGCATATCAGTGATTCATCAAAAAAGCACTTTATCAGAAATAATATCTGAGAGGGATTCTGTATAAGCATTTAAGATTATAAATACACAGACTCTCTAGCTGTTGTATTCATAGAATGCTTTACTTGAAATTTCCTTTGCTTGAAATTTGATTTCTCCAGTAATTTACTTACTATTGCCAATCTTTTCTGTGTAACACTCTTTGTTTTTTTCTAGGAAAAATATTGTTTGTGACCATTGCTAAATCAATTATCAATGAAAGGAAAGAAAGAAAAGGTACTATGTTAGTTAATCAAAATTTTTGCCAGCATTTAATAATCTAACTCACAATCCAGTCTGACATAAATATGGAAAAGAAACAAAAGTCCAGCGTGGTTAAAATCTTAAACTGCTACTTGTTTTCAAGAATAGATGAGATAATTTCTTTAAAAAAAAAAGGGGGGGGGGTTGAGTTTGCATTATGCAGTGGAAAGACATAGTTTCTAAGTCAGACATGTGGGTGTGGATCTGTCTCTGCTTGTTGACACATTGCTGAACCTTTCTGGATCTCAGTACCCTCCACTGTAAAAGGTGAAAAACACCAATAACCTTACAAAGTTGTTCTGAGGACTTAAGGTAATGTATGCACAGTGCCCAGAATTTAATAGGTGCTAGATAAATATTAGGTATGATAAAAGAAGTTTTCAGAGTGCTAAAGCTCTTGCTGAAATTTCATGGTAGTGTTTTTATGGAGCAGACCTTCACCCCTTTTGCCATCTGTTTTAGTACCACAATGAGAGGAATTCATTTAGAATGTGATTGCTTGTCACTCCTCTGCTCAAAAAGCCTCAGGGCCCATTTCTTTCTGAATAGAAGCCAAAGTCCTGACAATGACTTAAACAAAGCCCTGTGTGATCTTGTCCTCAGTTTCCTCTCCAAACTCATCTACCTCTACTCTCCTGGAGATCAGATTCCTCATTAAAATACATCCTCAGTTTTAAACTTGAGCAGAGTGCCTGTCCTGTGAGAATATTCTGATGACGGGACCTGAGTAGTTTCATTAACTTGTCAATTGAGTTATATTTAATTTGTCTTGAGGACTTGATTTTTAATATGCTTCAGGGAAAGATTGATTACTATTACCAGTCACAATCGTTTCTGTGTATTTCATTTTCCTGAAGTTAATGAAATGTTCCAGAAAACTGTATCCAACTGAAGTTGTTCTTTAATGCATTTTCAATGAATGCAAGAAAGGATTTGAAATTATACCATTTTGACCTTTCAGTCATTTAGTTTAATTTTTTTCCTGTCCTTTTTCTTGATATATTACCATTTTCTATTCTTTAAAATCATTTTAGTGAGGTACCACTATAGGTAGGATATTAATTATAATACAGTTTCCAAATTAAAGTATTTTTCTCTGGGAAAAAAAGGCTATAGAAAAGAGAACCTTATAGCATATTTAAGACATTTATAAGAAGCCCCCAGGTTACTTTGGCATAGAGTCTTATTTCCTCAACTGCAAAAATAAGGGGGATTAATTTTATGATATAACCACCTATCATTTTATGAAAGAGTTTAATAATAAGAGGAACTTTTCTTTTCATTTTCATTTCTCACCTTTTTAGAATAAACCATATAAGAAGAAATGAGCTTTTCATTTTGTGGTAACAACATCTCTGCATATGATATCTATCGTGGTGTGTTAGAAAACCCCTGCTTTGTGGATGCACTCAACCTGGTCCCCCATGTCTTTCTGTTGTTCATCACTTTTCCAATATTGTTTATTGGTAAGTAATCTAATGCCCTATATTTACCACCTAATGTTTATGAGGTTTATTAACGGCTGAGATATGGGATAATGCTGACTTAAGTTTCTCCAACATGAAAACTAATGGGTAAGTCTATGAGAAATGAACAAGCGTTTTGTGTTTTCCAGTTGTATCTCTTTGGCCTGTGATATTTCATTGGTGAAATAGCAGTTGCATGACTGCTTATGAATGGCCTTCAGGTAGCAGTAGTAGTTTTTGAAAAAGAAGGAAAGAGGTAATCATATGAGATAGAGCTAACGCTTTTGTTGAGCACTCACTTTGTGCTAGCTGAAGGGAGTGAAAAGTAGGTAAGACAGAGTGCTTGCCTTCCAGGAATAGTCTAATGGAGCAGATGTGTCAAAGTCAAGAGAAACGACTATGCCACATTGTAAGCCCACTTACAGGTACAGGATCATTATCCTGGGCATGAACCTGCTAGAACATTGAACTCTTCTTGGGGCCGCCAGGGAAGGTTGCGTAATAAGTGACATGTTTGGGGACTTGAAAGATGAAGAATGTGCAGATTAAAGTAGGAGTGATAGGTTGTGTTTTAGGTAGAAAGAGCGCATGCACAAACTATTCGGAAAGAAATTAACAATACAGTCTCCCCTATTATTTCACGGTTTACATATACAAAATCCAATTATTTAGGGCAATTATTTATAATGTTTGTAACTTTCTCCAAACCACCAAAATAGACCATTTAAGTTTTTTAAAATTATAAAATATTTTTATATATAAAATAACAAAAATTCCTACAATAAACATCTGTTGAACCTACCACCACTCAAGGAATGTAATAGTAAGAATGAAAGGGACACCCTCTGCATACCTATTCCTCATCTTGTTACTCTTCCCACATCCTATCTCATCATAGGAGGTTACCATTATACTATATTAAATTAATGGTGTTTAATTTTCCCATGCATGAATTTGCCTATAAAAGTAAGGCAAAGGAAAGGTGGAAAAGATATCAGATGGATTTTCTTAAGAAAACTAGGATAAGTTAATGATCTGGTTAAAAGGAAGGTTTGAAGGTGATTTATATGCTTTTAATTATTTATTTAAGAAATATTAATTGAGAGGATACCATGCACTTGGCATTATTCTAACAGAGATCAAAGAATTTCTGTCATATGGTATACACTGAGGCCAACATAGCTCTTGGCACATATTTATTTTAAATGAATGTACAGACACTAAATATACTGGGATCAGAGTGGCTATATGTAGAAACACTAGTCATTGTTTATGTGATATTATTTGTAAGGTATTAAGAATGCCTTTTGGCCAAAAGTAGAAAAATACATATTTTTTTACTGTTCATTGTGATTAATAATTTATTTTTGACATTTAATTAGCTTCTTGAGAGCAGGGACTATGACATTCTCTTTTGTGTTCCTAGTATCCAGCACAGAGCCTGACAAACAGGGTTTGTGAATGGAGTGGAATTGGAATGGACATTGTCAAAGGGAAATAGAGTTAAATGCACACCGTTCATTTATAGCACTGGCTACTTAAGTTAGTGAAGGATCATAAATAAATATCAAAGAAATATCAGGTACTAGGAAAATTATAATGTTGCAAAAAAGACACAAAACTTGCCTGCAAGAGTTTATAGCATAAAGTTCCAGTAGATATATTAATTGTAACTAACCTTCCAATGATGAAGTAAATTTGGAAACAACTAACACTTGAGTCAACTTTCTTTTCAAAGAATGTTTCAAGGGCCCCTTTTGTCTATACAGAAATTCCTTCCTGTGATATTTCAAGCACAACTCCCATTTATTCTTGAAGTTTATGGGGCTGTTTTTTTTTTTTCTTGAAGTAGTGGATATCCATTTTTCTACTTTTGGCCAAAGGGCATTCTTAATGACCTGCAAAAAAGTGAGAAAATAAAGGAACAAAAGGAGACAAAAGTGGAGTCCTTCTCTAGCATACCATCAATGAAGTGGTATTATCCTACCTATAGTTTTGGGAAGAAACCATTAAAATTTTACTAAAGTGTAATCTGAAGTTTTTTATTCAGTGATGAGCTAAGGGTAGACCTATAATGTTTTTTAGCCTGCATGAAAAATCATCAATGAACAAAGTTTAGCTTTCTTTGAGAAAAGTTCAGTATCACTTGTTAAATAGTGTTGCTCCAGTCATAGGCAATAATTTTTCTCATATCTGATAGGCTAATGATTAAGAGTTGACTCAACTTAATGCATCCTGCAGTTCATAACCAAATATGTGTTTTTGTGGTTATCTCTCCACAAATCCCATGTTTTGAAAGATTTTAAATACCAAATTTCTTTTATTATTATCATCAATTTGTTTCCTTTTGAATGAATCAGAAAACTATCAGGAAAAGCTTCTGATTTGCATGAGATAAACCCATGTTGTCATCTAGGGTTGGTGTTATTCCTAAGCAATGCAACAAATGTTAATGTGTTAGCCTAGTCAGTCTTGTAAAGATTAATTGAAATTGTTATTTTTTTTAACATAGTGAAAATAGACCAGGATTTCCATTGCTACCCTAGAAAGCGCTAATGTTTCAGGAGCCCCTCCCCGCAAAGCTTATTATAATGTAAGTTATTTCCATGATTATAATTGATCCTTTTGTTTATCTCTTTTAAACTTTTTTTCCAGGATGGGGAAGCCAAAGCTCAAAAGTACAAATTCACCACAACACATGGCTACATTTTCCTGGACATAACCTGAGATGGATTCTTACATTTGCTCTCCTATTTGTGCATGTTTGTGAGATAGCAGAAGGCATTGTTTCAGACTCGTAAGTGACTCGATGGACATTATACCATTACAATATATTATACAAGTAGGGATATTGATATAGTAGCTAACAGCATATCAAGTCAGGCTTAATTTGGGATGCATAACCCATTAGGAACGACAGCTGTCATCTGTTTTATATGATAATCATGGTATTTTGTCTGTATTTTTCTGTCGCTACATGTTTCTTTCAGATATCTGACATGCCTATGCATGTACTTTATATTCTTGGCTCTCTGCTCCATGTAGCCCTTTTAGAAAGTTCATATCTCCTTTTAAACATTTCAATGCTTAATTTATCCTTAAAAATAGGTATAAATAGATTGTCTATATTGATATATAGCTCTAATAGCTATATATTTATATATCAATTAGTTCTCAGATGTTTCAGTTTATGTTGTAATGAAGCAAAGATAGATGAGGCAGGCATTGAAAAAGTCCAAGAACCAGTGAGAAAAGAGCCACAAATTAAGGCAAAGTGCACAATTACTTTAAAATTCGGATTTGTCATAAAATCCATATTTTTGAAGAAATTTTGTCATTCTTATAAAAGAAGAAGTTTGTATTAGGCAGTTAGAATACAATGAATTGTATTTGTAAACTTTAACATAATCTGGGGAACATATTTTTTGTATATAGTAACAAGATTAACTGAAGTAATCGGAAAATTTTCAGTATGAAATTATGCTAAATTATACCTTTCCCTGAAGACTTAATACGAGAAGGCCTTTTAAGTTTTTAAAAGGAAACCTCCAAAAATAATTTTCTTCTTATCTAATAAGGACCTCCCCTGACATCTGTTTATGTTTTTCTGTTGCAATTAGCAAGGAATGAAATTTCTAAGCTTTTGTTATGGAGCCAACTATTTTGTAATGTTTTATAAGGGTTCATTGCAGATATGAAGATGTCTTAATTTCTGATAAAAAGGAAAATCTGTGACTCATTAACACATGCCATCCCTCAAAGCATTTAGAAGCTTAATTAGGGTTATTATCTTATTGATAACTGTTTGAAACCTTTTAGTGTATTTGTACTAGCATAGTCAATTCTAGTCTTAATTTTTTTTATTTCCTTAACATTTAGGCTGACTCTGTATATTTCTATGTGTATGTATAAAGTGGAAGATATTAATAAATCAGTCCAATATTTCTCAAAAACTTGATATCATGTGGGTAAGGAGGACTCTTCCTTTACAGCCTCATGGTTGGTGAGATTCAGTAAGAGACTTGGAAATCACAGGCTGAACTAATAGTGATAATGACGTGTGTTAATGGTGGATGCTTGTTTGTAGTGGTAGGGATACAAGAAGCCCATCCTAAAGACAAACAGGCAAAAATATACCCTTGATCCTATGCTATGCTCTCCCACTCTTTTTTTTTTTTTAATTTCGGTATATTATGGGAGTACAAATTTTAAGATTTCAAAAAATGCCCTTTCTCCCCCTGCCCCTACAAGTCTGAGTTTCCAGCGTGACCATCCCCTAGATGGTGCACATCTCACTCATTATGCATGTATATACCCGCCCCCCTCCCACCTCCCCCCGGCCCAATACCCTATTACTGTAGTACCTATGTGTCCACTTAGGTGCTGCTCAGTTAATACCAGTTGGCTGGTGAGTATATGTGGTGTTGTTTTCCATTCTTGGGATAACTTCACTTGTAATAGTATGGGTCCAGCTCTAACCAGGAAAATATAAGATGTGCTATATAGCCATTGTTTCTTAGAGCTGAATAGTACTCCATGGTATACATATACCACATTTTATTAATCCATTCTTGGATTGATGGGCACTTGGGCTGTTTCCACAGCCTTGCAATTATGAATTGTGCTGCTATAAACATTCGAGTGCAGGTGTCTTTTTGTGAGAGTGTCATTGGATCTTTGGGTAGATGCCCAGCAATGGGATTGCTGGATCAAATGGTAGATCCACTTGTATCGCTTTAAGGTATCTCCATATTGCTTTCCACTCTTCCACTCTTTAGGCTTCTTCTTCTTCTCCTTTTTATCCAGGCTTTTCAAAAAGTCGTCTTCCAGTTACTTCCAAACCTAAAAGTTTAGTTTTCTTTCTCTCTTGCCCTTTCTTATTATGCAAACTGCTTCTACAAGAATCTCTGTGATCATTAATGACACTTTAGTGGATACCTTTTTGCCTTTATCATAATTATTACTTTTGACACTGCTGATCATTCTTTCCTTCCTTTTTCTTTTAACAAAATTTTTACGAACTATTCGTTACTTAATATGAACAAATGCTCATTATAATTAGTGAAACAATGCAAAGGCTTTGCTAATTGAATATCTCATGGTCATTTTTAGTAATACAACTAAAGCTATTAATTTTTCTTTTGGAACATCCTTATCTGTTTGGACAGGTTTTTGGTCTTCTTTTTATTTCTACCTAAACAATCTGTCATTCCTGTTTAAATACTTTCCAGGTGTAGGAGTCGTTTTTCAGTTTGCTCTTTAGTTTAATTTGATTGGTTTATTATTAGAGCATGTAGTTTGTGAAATGATTACTTTTTGGAATTTATTTATTTATTTTTGAGACAGGGTCTCGCTTTGTTGCCCAGGCTAGAGTGAGTGCCGTGACATCAGCCTAGCTCACAGCAACCTCAAACTCCTGGGCTCAAGCGATCCTCCTGCCTCAGCCTCCCAAGTAGCTGGGACTACAGCATGCGCACCATGCTCGGCTAATTTTTTCTTTATATCTATTAGTTGCCAATTAATTTCTTCTATTTATAGTAGAGACGGGTCTCGCTCTTCTGCTGGTTTCAAACTCCTGACCTCGAGCTATCCACCCTCCTTGGCCTCCCAGAGTGCTGGGATTACAGGCGTGAGCCACTGTACCGGCCCTTTTTGGAATTTATTAACATTTTCATTATAGTCAAATATTTCACTAGATATTTCACTATAATGAAAGTCAAAATACTTTTGAAAGTATTTAATGAGTATTAGAAAGTAATATATTTACTTTTGTAGGAGACAAAATTTTATTGTGTTTACTGACTAGATTACTGAAGTCCCATATGTTGATTATTTTGGCACTACTTATCAAATTCTAAAAGCAGCATATTAAAATATTCATAATTATTGTGTTTTTATTTAGGTTTTCATTTTATTATTTTCTCTTTTTTGAAATTATTCTTTTGTCCTTCATGATGTAAAGCTTTTTAAATTTTCTTTCTAACTTTCTGACTAAAGATTTTCTGCTCTAATATGGTAGATGAGCTCCCAGCAAGCTATTGAGGTCTGAAAACCATATTATAAAAAATTACAAAGCTTAAGGAAAAAATAAGGATGGGGAGACACTCAAAACCTATGCAACTTTTTACATAGAGAACTAACAAAATGATAGCAATTCTAATAAAAAATGCTAATATGGCTAAAATACATGTTAAATCCCTAAAATGTAATGCCACCATAAGTATAAAACCTTACTGGAGCTGTTGTTATCTCTATTAATTCTTTATAATTACTTTCATTAGTGATGTTTTGTCACTCTTTTTCTAACTTCATAAATTGACTATTAATTTATTAAAATTATTTCTTAGTGAATCTGTTTAAGATTATAAACTTTCTTCTAGGTATGCTTGTTACCACATTTTACAGTCCTTGATAAGGAGTGTGCTAATTTTTAAATTTTCTAAGTATTCAGTAAATGACTTTTGGATTCTTCTTTGATTCAATAATCAGAGAATATTGGAAGCTTTTCCTAATTTCTGTGCTGATGAAATATTTATCTCCTACTTTTTCTCTCTGACCATTTTGAACTATTTATGGGAAGTAGTAGGTAGTTTTTAAGTGCTACCATACTACTTTGAAATATTTGTTACCATGTCTATAATGATTCAAATTATATCACTGATCATCTCCCAAATCTCTTCATACATTGACCTATTAGACAAATCTCTTTGCATGTTTATTAGACACCTTCACGATCCACACATCTTCACTGAAACTTACTTGCCTTCCTCTCTCCAATCTGCTCATCCTCTTAATATCTTATTTGGTTACACAGCCATCCACCTGGACGTTATTTTCTGCCTCCCCATTGCCATCGTCTTCATATTCTAACACTATTTAAGTCCTGTCCATTTTAACAATTGATCTTTTTCATGTATATTATTTCTTGTATGCTATTGCTGCCACAACTTAAGCCAGGCCTTCATCATCTGTTGTACCCATGGTTTCCTAATGGTTTTTCTTCATTCCATTTCTCCCCCTCCAAAAATCCATATATACTTTCTAATTCCCTCATCCACATTCCTGCCAGAGTGATCCATTTAAAATACAAATTTGATCATGTCACCTACCTGTTAAAGTGTTTCTACTTTTCACAAAAGTGATTCCAGCCCCCGACCATAGTATACTAAGCCTTTCATGATACACCTTATCTGAGAGTATCTTATACTTACACCTTAAGATACACCTTATCTTAGAGTACACCTTATCAAGAGTATTAAACTACTTGGAATTCTGAACATGTTACGCTGTTTCATGCTTCTATGTATTTGCACATTGTCTTCTCTCTCTTTCTCTCTCTTTTTTTTTTTTTGAGACAGAGTCTTACTCTGTTGCCCAGGCTAGAGTGCCATGGCATCAGCCTAGCTCACAGCAACCTCGAACTCCTGAGTTCAAGTTATCCTCCTGCCTCAGCCTCCCAAGTAGCTGGGACTACCGGCATGCACCACCATGCCTGGCTATTTTTATTTTTATTTATTTATTTTTTTTTATAAGGACAACAGTTTCCTAATGGCTATTTTTATATATATATATATTTTTTAGTTGGCCAATTAATTTCTTTCTGTTTTTAGTAGAGACCGGGTCTCGCTCTTACTCAGGCTGGTTTCGAACTCCTGACCTTGAGCAATCCTCCCCTCTCGGCCTCCCAGAGTGCTAGGATTACAGGCATGAGTCACCGCGCCCGGCCTCTCTTCTGTCTTTTGAAAGTGCCCACTTTCCTGACCAGTGGGTTCCTTTTTATGTTTTAGTTCCCACTGTCAATCTTACCTCTTCTGAAATGACATTCTCAAATGTCCCCTTTATCCCAGTCTTGAACTGATCACTCTTCTCTATACCATTCATATACTAATATACAATTAGATACTAATTTATATACTAATATATTCAAGTAATTTGAGAAAAGTTCAATGTTTTATTCTGTGGCATTATTAACACCAATGGAGTTAGGGCTGTCCACCATGCACATCTGATCCTGCCATGTCTCTGATTCACCTGGAGCTCTCTGCTGCCCTCAGGGTGAAGCCTAGTCTCCTGGCAGTTGCACTGAATTGCTTGCGATGTCCCTGAACACATCTGGACTCTTCCTGGAATGATCTTCCTCTCTTCTTCCACTCGGTAGCAGTTCCTCAACCATAAAGTCCCATTTTAGAAGTTACTTCCTTTACAAAGTGAAGTTTCTGTCACAGACACAAGCCCTGTGTGCTCTCACTGTCCCTTCTTCACCTGTGTTATAGTTTCCTATTTGCTATTGGTATCCCCAATAGACTCTAGATTTTGTGCCCCTCTGATGCTGTATTTTATTTTATTCATTGCTGCATGCCAGAAACCTAAATTTTCTGGACCAGCAAATACATTTGCATTGCATGAGTTAATGAGAATGGAGAAATCACTGAAGACCATAAAGTTTGGGAAAACTGTCAAAGGAATAAATATACTTTTTGCATACATTAGAATTCAAATTCAGTGGACTGCTTTTACTTGCTTTACCCGTTAAGTTATTTCAGCAGTTCTGCCCTTCAGGGTAGGAGGTATATATTTGTTTTTGTTGGAAGCATTTTAAGGTATATAGTTTGCTATGATTACTCAGCCCTCTGTGTTAGGACAAATCCTTCCTGCAGAATTATGTCTTCCAATATATTCTTCCCTTATGCATTCTTTTAGCAACTACTACTGCATTCTGTATTTCAAACATCTTATTGCTAAGAGTTTTGATGAAAAGGTTGGGGAAAGAACGAGAAATTATCTGGAGCCCTGAGCTCTAGACACTGACTTTGTACTGCTCTTCCTAGACGGAGGGAGTCCCGGCATCTCCACCTCTTCATGCCGGCTGTGATGGGATTCGTTGCCACTACAACATCGATAGTATATTATCATAATATTGAAACATCCAATTTTCCTAAACTACTTTTAGGTAAGTGTGATCAAGTATTTATCTTTCCTCCAAGAGAGTTCTTTTTCTTTTTCCTCATCATAAAATACTGTCAGAGTGGGTTGGGAGTGAGAAGCATGGGAAAACCCCAATATTTTATTCTCTTGTAGTCGCTCAATAAATGTTGGGTGGAAGATCAGCTGAGTAGCTCTAGTCTAGGCTGTGAAATTTCATTCTCTCTGGACATCTGGTTCTGCAATAAATGGCCCTCGTGGTGTGTCACTGTATGGAAGTGGAGGAGGGGTGTTGGTCTGCTGGCTCATAGAAGTTGTATTGTAAGGATCGGAGCTCTTGCGAGGAGCTGCTGCACCATGCTGCCCCTTGAACAAGTCATCTCATCCTGTCCCATGTTTTTGCTTCTGGGTTGGAATCCTGAGGCATTTTCCAAAGGCCCAAGCCTTTTATTGATGTTGTGGGATTGCCACATTTCCCTAGAATTGCTGTTTAGGCAGCAGGGGTCTTGCTGCAGCGTATGCTTCATAGAATGATGGAAAGTATGCTGTCCTTAGAAGCAGCCTCTTCCAAACACAGCCTCCCGCATCTGCATTGTCACTGAGATTGCCTTATTAGCCCCTCTTTCTTCCTTGTCCTGTGGAAATCAGAGACCATCTCAGATACTCTGAGTTTTATTTTTGCCTTAGGTCGAAATAATATAATGCTTCCCAATTAGTTATATTCAATGCTCTGCCCCATCCTTGTATTCCTTAGTACATCGTACATGTTTTATAAAGAAAAAGAGATGAAGGTATAGACGGATCATGGGTGGACTTCAGGGGCCTACGAACCTACTAAAATTGTAGGAGAATTGTGCATTTGTGTGAATGAATGTTTAGTTTCTGAAGTTCATAGATTTCGATTGATTGGTATATAATGAAATGACATTGACTACTGATATAGAAATTAGGGAATAAATCATTAAAACATGTAAGTAGTATTTTATTTTTTTCCAGAAAACATTAAATTTAAAGTTAGTGCATGGAAAATACTAATGTTTAATTCTATGTTGTGTACATAACATGATTGGCCAAGCCAATCTAATAAAATGTAGACAGGGTAAATATTAATTTAAAAGGCTTGTTGAAGTCTGAATTGTCTTAATAGAAAGCTCTTTGGTACAAAATGAGAGGCAGACATTATGACATGTGTGAAGATGCCAAAAAAAAAAGTTTCATTTGCAACAGGTAACTGGAAAGAAATATATCATTTGAATTCAATTACTAATATTACATTCTTGAAAATTGATAGTGATAGAAAGGTTATAAAATGTCATTAGAAAGGGATGCACATATTAATATTTTGAAGGAAATGTGACCAGAATCTGGCTGTCATTGTTACATAGATGCAGGCGAGGGCATAATTTGATCATATTTCTAGAAGGACTTATAAAGATAAAAGAGTCTAACTTTCTCATTATTTTAGGAGAAAAAATTTTTACCTAGAAAAATTACTCTTATTTTTAAATACAAACTACAAAGTAATTTGTTCACATATCATTATGAAAATCACCAAACATACAGAAAGTTGAAAGAATCATGTGAATTTCCATTTACCTGTCTCCTATATCTTCATTTACATTTGTTCTATTGTTCTGTCAGGCCTACATCTTCCAATCCCTCTATCCATCCCTGAATCCATCTTAGTTTTGATGCATTTTAAAGTAAGTTGCGGACATTAGTATGTTTCATCCTGAACACTTCATGCCGTGTCACTAACTAGACTTAAAATTTGTTACATTCTTCTTGTGAGATAATATTTCATATAGAATATATGAAACAGTCTTAATTTGCTAAATGCATACACTTGTATATACCCTGTCATGACACGCCATCATCATCCATGCAAGTTTTCTTTTTCTTCCTTCTTTTTTTCTTCTTTTTTAAGAGTGAGTCTTGTGCTCTGTTGCCCAGGCTGGAGTGCAGTGGTGTCCACTATCTCACTGCAGCTTCGATCCCAGGCTCAAGCAATCCTCTGCTTAGGCCTCCTAAGTCCTTGGGATGACAGGTGTGGGCCACTTATGCCCGGCTCATGCAAGTTTTTCTGTTCCTTCCAGTCAATCACCAGTTTCACCTCCACCCTCCAATGTCTGTTCTGATTTTTCCCACCATAAATTAGGTTGCCTCTTCAGAACTTCACATACATTGAATCATGCAGTATAAACTCTTTTGAGTAAGGCTTCTTTCTCTCAGCATGACCTTTTGATCTCATCCTTTGTTTTTGTAATTGTTGGATAGTATTTCACTGTATGAATATGCCATTGTTTTTTCATTCTCTTGTTTATAGACATCTCGGACTGTTTCATATTTAGATTATCATGAAAAAAAGCTGCTTATATATCCTTGTATAAGATTTTTTTGTGTTTGTGTGACTAGCTGTATTTATTTCTCTTAGATAAATACCTAAAAGTGAAATTGGTGGGTTATAGGATAGGTAGGTAAATGTTTATATTTGTAAAAAGCTGAAATATCTTTTTCCAAAGTGATTGTGACATCTTATATACTCACTAACAACGTGTGGCAGTTCCAGTTCCACATGTTCACCAACAATTGGTGATCTTGGTTTTTCTAATTTAGCCATGCCCATGGGTTGTACTGGTAATGCATGGCCATTTTAATTTGCATTTCCCTGATAACTCATGACATTGAACACTTTTTGATGAGTTTACTGACCACTTGTTATCTTTATGAAGTGGCTATTCATACCTTTTGCCGATTTTTATTGCATTGCATTTTTATTACTGAGCTGTAGGAGTATTTTGTATGTACTAGATACTAGTATATCATCATATATATGTTTTGAGGATATTTCCTGACTAGTCTGTGGCATGTATATTCATTTATTTAACAGGTCTTTTGATTAACAGAATATTTTCATCTTGTGTAGATGAGTTATTATTTCTTGTACTAAGTTATTATTCTGGGTCTTATGACATCTTTGCTTTCCCTCCAAATACGTTCCTGTCCTATTCTCCTTTTGTTTAGATGCTTTATAGTTTCAGTTTTTATTTTTAGGACTCTCATCCATTTTAATTAATTGTGTATATGGTTTAAGGTCAGTGTCAAAGTTCTTTTTTTCCCAAGTGGATATCAACATGTCTCAGCAACATGTGTGGGCATAGACTTTCTGTTTCCCATCAGATTTCTTTGGTACTTCTGTAAAAAATTAAATCAATAACTATTTAAGAGTGATCTATTTCTTGGCTCTCTTTTCTGTTTCTTTGATCTATTCATGGATTTTCATACCACTACCATTTTTCTTGATCATGATAGCTTGGAGGTCTTGAACTCATGAATCATAAATCACACAACTTTTTCCTTTTTCTTCCAAGATTGCTTTGGATATTCTAGTTCTTTGCATTTCTATATACAGTTAGAATCAGCTTTACAATTCTATAACAAATAAATCCTGGTGGGATTATTATGGGGATTGCATTGAATGTATAGAACAATTTGGGATAGGATTGGCATCTTAGCAATACTGAATATCACAATCCATCTTCATTTATATAAGTCTTCTTTTCTTTCCTTAGCAATGTCTTATAGTTTCAGTGTAGAGGTATTGCATGTCTTGTTAAATTGTTGCAAAGATTTTTTGTGTTTTTCCTTCTGCTATTGTAAATGGAATTGTATTTCAAATTTCATTTTTCGATTGTTTCTGCTGTGTATAAAACACAATTGATTTTGTATATTTACCTTGTATCTTGTAACTTGGAGATTCACCTACTACTTCTAGTTATTGGTTTGCAGGTTTCAAGGGATTTTCTGTATAAATGAACATGCTGTCTGCAAATAGAGTCACTTATTTCTTTTCGGCCTTATTAATTTTCGTTTTTTTTTTTTTTCCTTGTCATATTGCCCTAGCTAGGACCTCCAGTAAAATGCCAAATAGTCATGATAAAAGTGAAATCCTGTCTGGTACAAATTTTAGGGAGAAGAGTCAGTCTTTTATAAGTAATTATGCTGTTAATTACAGGTTTTTCATAGAATACCTTTATCTGCTGAGTTTTCTTCCATTTAAAGGTTTCTTAGGATGTTTTTTAAAATCATGAATAGGTGCTGAATTTTATTAAAGTGTTTCCTGCACCCATTGGAAAAAGTATATTTCTGTTAATGTGCTAAATTTCATTAATTGTTTTCAAATAAGGTAACAATGCATTACTTTGATAAACCACACATAGTCATGATATGTATGTTAGATATGACTAAATTTTACTTGTTTAGCTTTTTATATCTATGTGGTGAGGGATATTGGTCTGTTATTTTCTTGTAATGTATTTGTCAATTTTCATTCTGTGGTTAAATTGGCTTCATAAAATGAATGGAAAGTGTTCTTTCTTTCTCTGTTTTCTGAAAAACTTTGTGTAATTAATTTTACTTTTTCTTTAAATGTTGAATAGAATTCACCAGTGAATCATATGGGCCTGGAATTTTAACTAAGGAAGGTTTTAAAGTATGAATTTATTTCTATATTAGGTATAGACTCTTTAGAATATCTATTTCTTCTTATGTTAGTTTGGTAAGTTTCAGTTTCAAACAATTTTTATTTCGTGTACATTTTAAGATATATTGTCATTAAGTTGTTCATGATATTCCCTGATTATCCTTTTAAAGTATGTAGGCTTTGTAGGAATAGCTCTTGTTCTTTTTTCAATATTAGTAATTGTGTTCTTCTTTTCTTGTTCCATCTATCTAGGTAATCTATCAATTTTCTTAATCTTTGCTTGTCAGCCTTAGTTTGTTCATTTTTCAAGTGTATTTTCTCTTTTATTTTTTCTATACTCTTATCTCTATTGGTCACCATTTTCTATTTACTTTTGTTGCTGTTTTTCTTCTCTCCCTGGTTTTTAAAATGGAAACGCAGGTAATTTATTTTGGACCTCTTTTCTAAATAAATTCTAAAGCTATAAACTTTCTCTAATCTTTTTTAGTTGTACTCCTTACATTTCAAATGTGTAGCATTTTCTTATAATTTAGGCAAAATATTGT